CCCAGAGCCTCCGCCCTTTCCCTCCCCTACCAACTGAGCACCTGGACTTGGGGGGAGGGAGGGTGGCGTGCACACGTGCTCAGCCCCTGCAGCCCAGGATCAACTTCAAAAGGTTCCGAGATCTACTGGTCAACTGGTTGATGACCACTGCGCCTCACAATCTATGAATCTATGAAACTACTCCATCCACTCCATCCCACTCTATGTAGAGTACACTTCCATAACTTTAAACTATTTCATTTGGGTTTAATTTTACAGTAGTTAAGCTCCACTTCGCCATCACAGGAGCAAATGGACCAAACAGTTATGAAGATGTTTCAGAAACAAAATGGCAAATTCATAATACAACCATATTGTGTGCACTAGACTACATCACTTCTCTACACAGCTGCCCTGCTTTGCAACACGGGTATTCCTGCAAGTCAAATTTTCAGGTTGCTGTCACAGCAACTTCTGTACTGTGAGTTGCACCTCTGCATTAATTGTGAATCTGTGCCCACAAAGATTCAGTGGTCCAAAACAGGCGATATGCATATTCACCATGCACAAGATTAGTACTGTAGGGCAGATGTGATAAGATTTCAAAGTCTATGCAAAGTCTTGACAGTCGCCCGTGCATTGTGCAGCCTCACACTGTCTTGGAGAACACCTTGTTCAAGCTTTCCATGACATTTAGTCTGACTAGCTGGCTTCAGGTGGTTTTGGACAAGGTGGCAGTAGGTAGTTGTTGATCATGACCCTGTGCTCCTATGCAATACCAAAACCAGATTAAGTCAGACTGTCAGAGGATGTGTGTACACAGAGGGTGGCAACAATATGCGTTTTCACTGCATGCTCTGCCTTTTCCTCTCAGGATTGTAACAGTGGACCCAGGCCTTGTACCCAACGTTAATTTGCAAGAGGCACCCCTCACAATCACCCTATACATTGCAGAAGCTGGGCATGCACTTTCACACATTGTCACATACGCACATCTGTTAGTTTGGCAGCCAACAGGCACACCAGTTCCAGTAATTCAGGTGATTAAGCCATACAACATGGATACTGTCAGCGCTTGTGCCTACCTCCACCACTAGATCTCGAATACTCATTCACCTGTTTGTACATGCAGCAGCATCAACCTTAACAACGCTGTTCTCCATCATGGCTGTGTTGGGGCAAGTTGCCTGGGGTTCATTCACTTCACACATGTGGCTTTTTGATTCTCTCCACCATTCAAAGATCTTCTGCTGAGCCATGAAGGCATCACTGTGCTGTGCCCCAAACCTATAATGAATTTCACTAGGTGGCACACCTTCAGCCCATGAAAAATGAAGGACAGAATGCTGCTCTTTGGTGCATATTAACAGCTGTGCTGGCATGCTGTTGAAGTGCTTGCTAGCATCACACGTGTCCAGTGCGAAATGATGGGTGCACTGGACCATGCTGCCACCAGTGCTCCCAGCTGCTGTGTAGTTTCCCATTTGCTGCAGACATGCAGTGCAGGCAGCCATTTTGCCTTTAAGTTTCTGAACACCCTTGTACTTCAGTTCAACTACTGTGTGCTCTCCCAAGCAGTAAATCCCATGCACTTTTAAAAGTTTAGTGTTACATCTATCCACAGCCTTAATAGAGGCAGAAGTGAAGTTGTGCCAAAGGGTTTGGAGTCCTAGCTAGCCTTAACTTAATAGAAGTAACTTTGATTAACCTTCAAGACACCACAGTGGAAGATTTAAACTGAAGTACCCTTCGCTCCCTTTCTCAACTGAATGGAATGAGCTGGGGCAGGGGGGAGAGAGTTTTGTTTTTAAATCAGTCTGTTTTAATGTGTAGCTAGTTAGTAAACAAATGTTAGAAAAGAACTCTCCAAGGACACATTCAGAAAGCAGTTAGTCATGTTTCACAGTAAGGGCTTCTGGGTTTTGGCATTTATTTCCATAATCCTACAGCCACCAACATCAAACATACTGCCTTTCTGGAAGTGGAGAGAGTGTTCAACTTTAAAATGTAGAATTTTCCAGGTTAAACAAATATTTACTAGCTATTGCTGAACTTGAATGCAGTGTGCTTTTGCAATAAACAGCAATTTAAACCCAAAGCTCTACATACATACATTCACAATTTAAAAATGTTTTACTGCAGGAACAAAGAAAATTGTTGCATGTCTAATTGTAACACTGGATCTTTCCTCAATAGCCTTGTCTTTTTTTTTTAAAACCCAGTGGGATCTCTCCTCCCAGCGGAATCCCAAAGGATTGCCTTTTTTCCCTTTACACCTAACACTGACGCCAAACATCATGGTAACCCAGCCTCCCTAGTGCAATGCACATTTATCCTACAGCTTAACTGCTATAAAATCCAAGGAAGCCAATCCATTTTACACCTTAGTCAGATGGACGGGTTGCTTTTGAACAGCAGAGATTTAAAAAAAAAAAAAAAAAGACATACCATATAGTCTATCCTTTTTGTAATTAAAATATTTTATTAAGTGTTGCCAGATCTACATTTTTAGATTGTTGGGAGTTTATTAATTTCTTAATTCCTAATGGAAATCCAGATTTTATATACAGATTTTTTTCTGTGCAGATTTCACTTAGCTCAAAATTTTATCCAAACAAAGGCAAATCCAGGGCTCTGTAAACATTGTCACTGTGTGATCATAAATGCAAACACAACTGATAAGCAAATAACCCAATGGTTTTCAACCTTTGCAGAGTCACGGCACCTCTCATTAGACTCAAGGAACCCCTTGAAAGTGCCCGCTCTTAGTTTTCACTCATTTTTTACTACCGAAAAATAATAGAGCAATTCTTCTCTTGCAAAGAAACCAGAAAGACGTTTTTGGATACTATGGATTCCTATCTGACTAGGTTTATCTTGTGAATCATGTATAGGCATTTGCACATCTAACAATACTAATATTACCTGGCACCCCATCATACCCTTAGTCTTGCTGCACCCTGGTTGAGAATTGCTGAAATAACAAATGGCATATTTGCAACACCATTTTTAATATAATGAACTTCCATAAATCAAGAATTTAAAATGCTCACTGAACATCTGCAGTCTGAAGTCAATGGGACCTGTTCTTCTAAATCACTTACATGCTTTTAAAATATCATATGCTTATACAATTTAATACAAGTTTAAAGCCTTACTGCAGACTTGTATACATAAAACAAATGCACAATTATTTCTGCTAATGCACCAAAAGTCTAAATAAGTACACTCAACACTGAAACTGTTTTGAAATGAAAAAGATGTTATGCTAGTAACAGGACAATTTAATAAAAATACAATGTTACCCCTTTATGCTTCAAACACATAGCACATACTTAGTTTTAAGCAGAAGCAGCCCTACTGAAGTAAATGAGTACAATTAGTTACGCACATGACTAAATCTTTACAGAAGTGGGGCCTTCATTTTCAATTTGTTTTCACCTATAACAGTTTTGTAGAATCCCAATGAGATACACTACTATTTGAGAGTATAATTTGAGAGTATATTTTAAGATCTCTAACATTTTAGATCTAAATTTACAATGAACAAGTCATGTGTCATATTAGCATGAATTTTCAAGTTAACTATATCAGCCGGGCAACCTTATTTAACTTGGGTCTCTCTAATAATGTCACCCAGCTATAAAATAATGGAATAGGCTATCCTCATCAACCTGCTAGCATTGGCATACTGGCCTGGGGAAAGGGAGAGAGAAAGTCAGGCAAAACTAAGGGCTTTCTTCAACTTAAAAGGGCTTGCCAGAGCTCGTGACAGTGCAGCCTATGCTAGGAAGAGAGTTCTTCTGGCAGTATAGCTTAAAGCAGTTCCCCAAACTATGCCAATGGGAGGATGTTTTGCCAGGGTAAGTATATCTATAACAGAGCTTTTGCTGCACAGCTTCATAAGTTAGGGATGCATTTTTTTTCCTTGTATTCTTAACTGACTCAGATAAAACTTTAAAGTGTAGACCAAGCGCCAAGCCTTGTCTATAGTAGGAAGGTGTATGGCTTTTAACTACACTGGTTACACCCCAAACTGAAACAGCTAAATGACCAAGTTTTACATGTAGACTAGACCTAAAAATTGAACCCCAGACTCTTGAGCAACAGCAAGAACCCTATGTATCTGACTACTAAAGCTCCTTTAGACTTTTATGATTGTTTTCTTTTCCTTCCTCCATCCTTTTGCACTTTGCATTTAAACCCAGAGTGATCAGGAGTGTCTTCATAGCCAATGAATCCTGGAAACACTGCATTTTGCTCTGCTGATGCACATTTCTTTTTTCTGGAGAAATTTACCCATGGGACAAAAAAAAATCCTGCAACGTAGCAATATTCTCAAGGTAAGTCTTGCAGACATATAGAGGATCAAGCCATATCTCAACCAAAAACATAAGTCAATATAATAACGCCAGTTAGGGATGTGATTTTTTTTTAAGTTACATTTGTATACTGGCAAAAGGTACTGGATAGATACAGTTATCTATATAAGGGATTAGGCCATCTGTCTGTCCTTAACGTTCTTTAAATGTGAATAGCTTGAAACTGTAAGAGATAGAACATTTGTGTCTTCAGAGAAATTTCTTTGCTAAAACTTAGCATTTGTTTAGTGACCATGTCAGGATGATCCCAACTTCCATAACTGGGAAAAAAAAGTCAGGGGCCAGGGCTGTTTCTACCGACCTCCTCCCAGGAGGGTGCTGGGAGCCCAGTGCAGTGGAGAGGGCAGAAGGGCCGGCTAAGGAAAAGCAGGAGCCGGGCAGAAGCACGAGGCAGTGGGCAAGCAGTGGTGGCCCCATCCCAAGCCCCATGCATGGAAGGAGGCACCTGGAGTAGCAGGGACAGCAGAGGGAGGGGCCATCTGAAAAAAATTGGGAGCCAGGCAGAGGCGCGAAGCAGTGGGCGAGCAGTAGCAGCCCCGTCCCAAAGCCCAAACAGTGAAGGAGGTGCCTGGGGGCAGCACAGAGGAAGCCCCGAGGCGTGGGCAGCTGTTGAAAAGCATGGAGCCTGCCTGCCCTTGCCCAGCAAAGAGGTGCACAGACGGTGGCCAGGTGACAGCATGGGTGGGTCCGCCTTAGCCCACTGGATGAGTGCAAGTGCAGGAAGGGATTGGTATCTTCAAATGTTCAGCCTATTTTAAGTTTTATAAATATTTAATTTATTTAATAAATATAAAATCTGTTTGTTTTTGTTATATGAAATTCATCCGTCATTCTTGAAATTCGCTAGTACTAACATAAAAGTGCTTTAGCCACTATAGCTTACTTTGGTTGGAAAACTGGTATTAGCCATAGTAAAAGCACTTTTTCTGACTCAGATTGTGTACACACATACACCTCCTTCTGGCAGGCTCTGTACAGTACAGGCTAGCCAGTACTGTACAGGCTAGTACAGTACAGGCTAGTAAGCCAAGCACAGTCCCCATTTATTTGTTTTTCCTGCATATATCTGCAGTGCACAAGAATATAATTTCTGCAAAGAAATACAAGTAAGAAAATAAAAATTAGCATTATGTACCTACAGTATTTATTCTCCATTCACTTTGAGCGTGCATATGTAAAAATGATTTTTTGACTGATTCTGTATGCACATAAGTTTGCATCTCCCCACAATTTGAGATTACAAACAATGTCATTCCTTTGCCCTCTCCGATTAAAAGCCAGCTAAAACTTTATCGTTAGCTTTAATAAGGCATTTTCTTTTGTTACATAATTTTTCTAGTAACTTTCTCTTTCCCAAGGAATAAAAAGTGAAACTGAAATCAATTAAATGTTTGCTAGCCATTTCAAACTGTCTCTCTCATATAGGCACAGAATTAGATTTTAGTATCAATGCCAAAAAACTAGAAACACTTTATTATAACTGAGCTTGGAGAATACAGCAGGAATGGGAGGCCTCATGAGTCAGTTGTCATGCACGCATTTGACAGTGTGATTAGAAACATATAAGTGCAGGAGAGTGCTAACAACACAAGCATGTAGCCACCTCAAACAAAAATCAGGTGCTCCTTCCAGAAACATCGCTCCCAGGCTTTAAAAATGTAAAAAAAAAAAAAACTTGGAAAGTGAGTTGTATAAACAATCTGTTTGATTTCTTCAATTAGGAGCAAAGCCGACTCCAGAAGGTAGGGGACTGCAGTTGTGGCAACACCACGCAGAGCAGGCAGGCACATCCTCTACATTTGAAGCATCTGCCTACAGGGCTGCCACGTGCACTGCCCCGCTCCAAGGATGATCAGGGCATCTACTGTCACCCTGACACACTGCTACAGCCGCCACCAGTGCCCTTTCACCCCGCATAGCTGTGGTATAAATTACAGGGAGGTTGTTCAGCCTGAGGCTGGAAAAGTGTCCAAGGAAAGTTAAAGGAAAAATGTTTTTCCTTGTCATCTCCAGAGGACGTTTCTCAGTGCAAACTTCAGCCTGTTGAGCTTGTAGGACTGCTACACAATGTAGCCAGATGGGTCAAACCCTATCCCCCCGGGGACAAGTGCAACAAAACAAGTATTGCAATTGTTCCTTGCAGGCATAAATGAGACCCAGAACAGATGGGCTAAAAGTGAGTTAAAAAAATTAATGTTGCAGCCCACTTCTACGGGTTTTTCCCCATGATCTATTATAAAGCAGCAGGTGTTTTCAGTTTCACTGCTCCTGTACTAAGAATATAACAGTGAATCAAGACTTCCTAACTGCACCATGTAGGAAGAAGCATTTAATACGGGCAGGGGCACAGGAAGGCAATGCCTGAACTGCACAAACACAGCTTCTTTGCTTCTGGGAAAAACCTGTTAAAACTGAAAAGGACTTTCTGCAACACAATGTGTTAGTACAAAACAACACAGAGCAGCTCTGGGCACCCAAAGAAGACAAAGGCTTTCAGGAGAAAAACCCGAGCAGTTACTGAAATACTTTCTGACCGTGGCCACCCAGCGTGACCCGGTTTACATCCGTGCACGGGTGGCACAAGGAGGCCACCGCCACCCAGGCAGAGTGGGCTGAGGGCACGTCCAAAGCCTGCGGGGCCCAGGCTGTTGCCCTGCGCCCGGCCCGAGACGGAACAGCCCGTTCAAGACAGCCAGGCCGAAGGAACCTACTCCGCGCCACGCCCTGCCCTGCCCTGCCCGCGCCCCTCGGCCTCGCCAGCCTCGCGCCGTGCTCTGCGAAGAGCGCAGCGCCCGGGCCCTTCCCCCACCCGGCCCGGCCCGTGGCCCCCG